ACCGAAGCATATGGAACTGTGCGCATGCGTCCCGGAAATTTAATTTGGCATTGTCACCCCACCCAGTACGGCGTTTCGTGGCCCCATAGAGAGCCCCACCGAAGCCCCCAGTGGGACTGTCCGCATGCGTCCCTGAAACACAATTTTGATATTTTCACACCACCCACTACGGCGTTTCGTGACCCCGTAGAGAGCTCCACCGAAGCCCCCACTGGGACCGTCCGCGTGCGTCTCGGAAACCCAAGTGGGCATTTTCACCCACCCAGTACAACGCTTCTTGGCCCCACAGGGAGCTCCACCGAAGCCCCCAGTGGGACCGTCCGCATGCGTCCTGGAGACCATATGTGGCACACCCCTCATACGTTTCGTGGCCCCATAGGGAGCTCCACCGAAGCCACCAGTGGGACCGCCCGCATGCGTCCCACACACCAAATTTGACATTTTCACACCACCCAGTACGGCGTTTCGTGGCCCCATAGGGAGTTCGCCCGACGGCCCCAGTTCTACCGCCCGCATGCGTTCCCCCCCGCCCAGTGCAGCGCTTCGTGGCCCCATAGGGAGCTCTACCGAAGAAAATATTCACAATTGCGGCGCCCCCAACTGCATATGGTTGGGTCCGTCGCCAGAATAATTGGGGGTGCCTGTTTGAAGCAGGTGGAGGCTCCCCTAAGGGACGCATCGTTGCAACCAGACGCATGAAGCAGAGGTCCAGAGCCAAACCCCCCCCCTCCCCCTCCTCCTCTTCCTCCTCCTCCTCTCCTCCTCCCCCTCCCCTCCTCCTCCTCCTCCTCCTCCTCCTCCTCCTCCTCCTCCTCCTCCTCCTCCCCTCCTCCTCTTCCTCCTCCACAATTACTCAATATGAATACTACTCTCCCTCTTCCCCTGATGACGTCTTGGGAATAATATTCGCCCCCCCCCCCCCCCCCGTACTGTTTTTTTACACAGGTTTCCCCGGAGTTGGGTTTTCGCCGGCATCATTTTCGGGCCCCGCTCTCGTTCCGAATCGTGCTCCCGCTGCAGCGCTGGCATCATTTCCGCTCGAGCCGGCGCCCGAGCCGGCGCCCGGGCCGGCGCTCGGGCCGGGTCCGGAGCCGGTTCCGGTTGGCGCCGGAAAATCGAGTTCCGAGGCGGCGCCGAAAAAAGGCCATTCTATAATACATATGTTTTTGAAAATGCTGAATTTCTGCTTCCGGCGCACAGGAGGCCTCCGGGGCCGATTCCGACGCCCAGGCCGGCGCCCGAGCCGGCGCCCGGGCCTGACGCCCGAGCTGGCGCCCCGGGCTGGCGCCCGGGCCGGGTCCGGAGCCACTTCCGGCCGGCGCCGGAAAATGGAGTTCCGAGGCGGCGCCGAAAAAAGGCCATTCCAATACATTTTTTTTTGCTGAAAATGCTGAATTTCTGCTTCTGGCGCCCGGGAAGCCTTCCCTGGAGTTAGGTTTTCGCTTGCATTTGTTTCCCAAAATGCTGCTCTCGCTGAGGCGCCGGCCTCATTTTCGGGCCCCGCTCGTTCCGAATCGTGCTCTCGCTGCAGCGCTGGCCTCATTTCCGTGCTTCCGCTCGTTCCGAATCGTGCTCTCGCTGCAGCGCTGGCCTCATTTCCGCGCTTCCGCTCGTTTCGACTCGTGGTCCCGCTGCAGCGCTGGCGTCATTTCCCGTGCCATGCCACGGCATGCTACGCTTCGCGGTGCTCTTCTACGCCATGCCACGCCGTGCTCTACAATGCATCGCGTACCCTTTCGGGATCATCGCCCTGCTTGACATCCGACTGTGCGAGTAGAGAGAGGATCTGCGGCACGGTTTGGGATGGGAGGGAGGGGTAAGATGCCAGATATGACGCGAGCGCACCTAGCTTGTCCCCCTCCCCCTCCTCCTCCTCCTCCTCCTCCTCCTCCTCATCCTCCTCCTTCTCCTCCTCCTCCTCCTTCTCCTCCTCCTCCTCCTCCTCCTCCTCCTCCTCCTCCTCCTCCCCCTCCTCCCCCTCGTCCCCCTCCTCCTCCTCCCCATCCTCATCCTCCTTCTCCTCCTCCTCCTTCTCTCCTCCTCCTCCTCCTCCTCCTCCTCCTCCTCCTCCTCCTCCTCCTCCTCCTCCTCCCCCTCCTCCCCCTCCCTTCGCCCACTGTCGAAACGCCGCATAAGAGAACACATTCGCCCTGCCGAGCAGCCAGGCCTCCGCGCCCCCGTTCCTGCTGTCGCTGTTCCTGCTGTCGAACGCGGCGCCCGCCTCAGCTCGCCGCGCCCTCGCCGGCTCGTCTTGCGCCAGCCTCTGGGGGCAATGCCAGGGCCAGACCCTCGGGGGCCCCCAAACGGTGTGGTGACTACACCGTGCAGTGAGTCGATGGGGATTCAGGGTCACCGCACGGTTTTGGGACTTGGGTCGTTCTCCGAGGACGTCTCGGGCGACGGGGGCCTCCGGGGTCCCAAAACCGTGCGGTGACTGACCGAGCGGTGAGGTCTTGAGGGATTTCGAGGCCACCGCACGGTTTGTCACCGCACCGTTTCGGACTCCAAATGTCAGGGCCAGACCCCCTCGAGTCGTGATGAAATCAAGACGGGAGGTTTCTGCAGTTGCTGCTTGCTGCTTCCTTGCCTTCCTCTGCAGTTCCTGCTTGCAGCTGTTGTCCCTTCGGCTTTCGGGGGCGCTTGCTGGGCCCAGGGGCCATCTAAAAACGACTCGGGAAGAAGAAACCGTCTCCGCCAAAAGGTCCAGACTTTGGCTTGAGTGCGCCAGTGTTCTTCCAAGCATTCAGTGGACTTAGCAAGTACTTAGGGAACACTTCGCGTGTAGATCTAATCCACTTCTGACTAAGTACGACTCATATCCGTGATGACTTCGCCCCCTGCTGCCGGCCCCCTCTCTCGGATATTGAAATATGCAAGAGCTATGTTATGAGGCCTGGGCGCCGTCGTGAAGCAGCGTCGGAACTCCGAACGGGGGCCAATGGAGATATGAGTGTGCCCAAATCCATCAAAAATCCTCAAGAGCATCACAGATGTAGGCCTCTTGGGCCCCTCTTGGGGGTGCTCTTGGAGCGTTCTTCTTGGCCGTCTTGGGACCAGCTTGGGCGCCTTGAAGCACTCTTGGGCCGTCTCGGAGGCCTCTCGTGTCTCGTACCGTCCTGGAGGCCGTTTATTGAGGACTGTGGTCTGCAAAGCGCGAACGTTGTATACTTTTACGAGGGCTTCTGATTTCGTGGCCGCGACGAACGCGTAATGTATGAGGGATCGTGGCTTCGGGGACGCACACGTTGTGTAATTCATGGCACAGTACTGCCTCGGAGACGCGAAGATGGTGCAATGTACGAGGAATTGTTGACGCTTACCAGCCCATCCAGACTCGATGCCCAGAGGAATTGCCTCGATCAGGGGAGTGGGCAACACACAGAGGAAGCCATTATGTGACATCTTGGGATATCTTGAGCCATATTGGAGGTCATTTTGGACTCTCCTAGGCGCTCTTGGAGTCATCTTAATCAGTGCCTCCCCCAAGAGGCCAACATGTGTCTAAAACCTTCGTAACATCAATGATTTGGCATTCTCGCCGAGGCCTCTTGGAGCATCTTTGGTGCCTCTGGGGTGTCTCTTGGGGCCTCTTGGGGGTCCCTTGGGAGCCTCTTGGGGGCATCCTGGGGGCCTCTTGGGGCTTCCTGGCCCCCTCTTGGGGCCCTCTTGGGGCACCCTTAGGAGCCTGGGGGGCATCTTTGGGCCATCGTGGGTGAGATCGATCACAAGAGGGGGGTGTTCAATTAGCGTCCCCCCCCAAGAGGCCAAAATGGGGCCAAAACCATTTTGGCTTCCCCTCCGAGACCGTTTTGGACGCCCTGACACCTCGCGACCCCCCCCGTCCAGGTCCAGGGGAGGGGGTAGGGGGAGGGGTAAATCCATCCCCGAAGGGGAAGAAGGAGGGGTGGAAGAGGGAACTCTCCAAACCACCGGCGCCCAGAGGGCTGGTGGGATTATGTATTCGGAAGCGTGAGCACAACATATTTTGCAAAGGTGTATGACCTCGGAGACGTGAACATTGCATACTGTGAAAGGATTATGGCCTCGGGAGCGCGAATACGGCGTAACCTCCAAGGGATTATGGCTTCGGCGGCGCGAGTCTCACATACTTTCAGGTGTCCCAGGACCCCCCAGAAATTATGAGAACCTTCTCAGGTGGTGGTATCAGGCTCCTTTTCAGCTCCCCCCTTCGCGCGGAATTCAACAATTCACAGTAGGAAGCAGACAGCAGGACTATAACATTGGAGACTTGAAGCTGGAATTGGCGCAGGGAGCAGAAAGCCCATCCCGCGGAGCCTTGTGGCCTCATAAAGGGGGCCGGCGGATACTTCGAAGTACGGTCGCGAATTTACCGTGATCTCGAGAATTCGCGTCCCGCGAGCATGCGCGGCATCGGAAAGACATCTTGCATTAGTGTCGAAGTTCTCTTGTTTGGCTCGTGAGGGCCCCAACCCGATACCCCTGAGAGGCCCTCTTGAGGCTCATAAGTGCTTGGGTGCGCACCTGGCTCAGATCGAATGGTGCCTCGTTTATGTTCTCAGAAATCTATTTGGTTCAACTTCTAAGTATGGAGTCATGTACTAATTAGACTCCACTGGTGATAGACTTGGAAGAGACTCGCCTAAGAGTCTCAGAAGAGTCTTCGCCGAGAGACTTCCGAGCACTTATAAGTGTGACAACTTCGACTTCCAAGCAATCAGCTTCGATTCGAAGAGACTTAGAAAGCAAAACTATGCTGGAGACTTAGCTACGCACTGAAAATGCACCTTCTCTGCCGGCTGAGAACGCAGCCTGTCTGCCAAGTATACAGAGACATTGCCCACCAAAGCAGGGGCATGCCCTGACGCACACACAAACACACACACACACACACGACGTCGAATCTCGGCGGGAGCTCAGGATGGGGAGCACTGGCCTCTGCATAGCCATTTTGGCTCAAGGCAGAAGCGCCGATCACTACTTTCCCCTCCCCCTACCACTTGTAGCCGCGACAGAGAATCATGTATGCCTACCGCCGGGCCGCCGCGGCGTCCCTCGGTGGGCCCCGCGCCGTGGGAGGCTGCCCGGCGCAGCCCCGCTGCGGCAGCCTCGTCGCCGGCCGGCCAGCCGACGACTCGCAGAAGCTGGCCGTCACGCTGATCCGGTGACGCACCTCGAGATCCTTCAGTGCAGCGAGCTGGCCCCTGAGCGTGTCCACGGCGACGGGGGAGGCGAGGATTACTGAGCTGATGGGCTCCTGTGTCCTGGCCTGCCGAAGTCCACGAGTTCAGCAGTTCTCGCCGCCCACAGTCGCCATGGAGACGCTCAGGGGCCAGCTCGCCTGGAGACGTCAGACGACCGCGACTCGGATTTTGACGAGGAGGGGTTTCGTGGGATGTCTGCAGCGGGAGGCCTCGTCAAAATGCAGGCTCGGCCTCGTCATTTTTTTGACGACCTCGTCGGGGATTTCCGAGTCCCCCGTACCCGGGTCTTACGTCTCCCCGAATGGAGACGCTCAGGGGCCAGCTCGCGGAGCTGAAGGAGCTCAGGAGGCGCGTCAGGGGCGTGGCGGCCGTGCCCGCGGGGCCCGAGCGGGCCGAGGAGTGCGCCAGGCGGCGCGCCGAGATCGCCGTGGGCATCGACCTGGTGCTGCACACGCTGGAGTCCACGGAGCGGGCGCTGCGCGCCCCCGCGGCGGTGCGGGGGGCGGGCTCGGGCGGCGAGCCCCTGCCCGAGCTCGCCCGCCACCTGAAGTCCCTGAGGTGGGCCGCGAACTTCACCAACGCCCTGCAGACGGCGGCCAGGACGCTGAGGACGCTCGACTCGTGCGACACGCCGGAGCTGGCGTACTCTGAGATCGCCGCGCAGCTGTGCATCATCAAGGCGCGGATGCAGCTCTTGGGAGGTCACATTCAGATGTTGCCCTGGTCCGAGAGCCGGTTTGATCCGGCCTAATCCCGCTTAATCGGGCTGCATCCCGTTCAATCCCGCTGAGTCGGGCTTAGTCCTCCTTGATCCGAGGCCCACTCCGGCGTAACAGCCCTTCAATGGGGCTTACTCCGCTATCCCTCCGACGAGGACCTCCCAGCAGTTTCCTCCTAAGCAAGGACACCCTCCGAGACTTCACGGGCATGATGCTGGACGCGGGCAGCGCGGCCGCGCGGCGGCCAGAGCAGGCCGCGAGGCCCGCCGCGCTGCGCGCCCCTTCGGCGGGCAAGCGGGACGCCCTGTCGGACACCTGCAGCTGCAGCACGGCGTCGGGGTCGGGGTCGGGATACGCCTCCGAGGTTCTCGGGGCCTCCCAGATGGGCTCGGAACAGGTGGGGTCGGAGGATCGCGCCGCATCGTCGACGCATCGACGACGCGGCTCGATGTGGAGCCCGATGTTCTCCACGCTGGCGTCCGCGGTGCATCGGCGATGCAGCGCCGATGCGTCGGCGATGCGGCGCGATCCTCCAACGCCGTCTATTCCGACCCCATCCAGGAGGCATCCAGAGGTGTCGAGCGAGGCGGACTGCGACAGCCCCAGGCGCTGCGCCAGCTCCGGCGAGGTGTCGCCCCAGGCGGCGTTCGCCGGGGGCTGCGGCGGGGCGCGCGGGGCCGAGGCCGCGCCCGGCGGGAGGCCGTGCGGCGCCGACGGCGGCTCGTGGTACACCACGCCCTTGTACTGGGGGTGACGCTCTCGCCCCCGCCCTCCGCGGGGGCGCCGTCCCGCGATGGCCGCCGGCGGGTAGAGCTTCTGCGCCGGCGCGGCCACAGCGGGTCGTGCCTGGGCAGCGCGCCCTCGCAGCGGTGCCTCCTGCGCCTGGACCCTATAGGGGCAGGCGCGAAGCGAAGCCCCTCAGAGCGTGCCGTCTGGCTTGCTCCGCCCTCCCGGGGCGCGGGCTCCTTGTTGCGTCTCCCTCCCGCCCTCCCCTGGCCGCGTGCACACCCGGCGGGCCGGGCCGGGCTTGGTGGCTTGCGCAGGGAGCGCCTCCGCGCGGCGAGAGGGCCGCGCGAGCCTCAAGCCCGCCTCGGCCGGCGGCGCATCGGCCCGGCAGAGCCGCCAGCGCGCGCGCGCGCCCTCGCCTCGACGGCGGCGCGCGCGGGCGGTCGCTCCGCCTCCCTGTCCTGCTCTCCCTCGCGCTTCGTCCCCCTACGCCTCTCCGATTGTCAGCCACGCGCAGAGGGGGGTGGGGGGAGGGGGGAGGGCTTCTTAGAAGCACCCTTGCTTCTTAGAAGGCGCCGGCCTTACATCTATAGATGTAAGGCCGGCGCCTTCTAAGAAGCAGCCTGCTTCTGAGAAGCCCTCCCCCCTCCCGCCACCCCCTTGTGCGCGCCGCCAAGATTGATGCTTTTCGCCTGTTCGTTTGCTCTCGCCGGCTTGCAGATGCACACCCGGCAGGCCGGGCCGGGCTTGGTGGCTCGCGCTCCGCGCCTCCTGGGCGAGGGCCGAGCGAGCCTCAAGCCCGCCTCGGCCTGTGGCGCATCGGCCCGGCAGCGCCCTGCACGGGCGCCTGGCCAGCGGCGCGCGGAGCGGTCGCTCTCCGCCTTCCCGTCTCGCACTCCTGCATCTCGTCTCCTCGCACGCCTCGCTATCCCCTTTTTGATGATTTTTGTCCTCAGTCCTCGATGGATTTTTGTTCCGCCTTTTTGATTGCTCTCGCCGGCCTCTATATGCACACCCAGCGGGCCGGGCCGGGCTTGGTGGCTTGCGCTCAGCGGGCGCCTCCGGGGCGAGGACGGCGCGAGCCTCAAGCCCGCCTCGGCCTGCGGCGCATCGGCCCGGCAGCGCCGCCCACGCGCTTGCCCGAGCCTCTCGATGGCGCGGGCGTGCGCGGCGGCCGCGCTCCGCCTCCTCGTCCCGTCTAGCTGCTGCCCTGCACCTGGAAGGTTCAACATTCCCAGCTGGACAGGGGAGCGTTGTTCCAGACTGCAAGATTACTCGGGCCGGACGAAAGGGTGGGAGTGGGGAAGGGGGGGGGTGCGAAATTCCAAACGCTTCGCGTACCCCCACCGGCCCATCCAGAAACGATGTCCAGGCGAGTTGAGGTGACCAGGGAAGTGCGGCAGCAAAGAGGAGGACGGCCGAACCGTGCAAAGGAGTGAGGAGGAGAAGGAGGAGGTGGATGGATGGATGGATGGGAGTGGGAAGAAGGAGGATGAATAGGATGAGGAGGAGGCGGAGGAAGAGTAGGAGGAGGAGGAGGAGGATGAAGAGAAGGAGTAGGAGCAGGAAGGAGGAACAGGAGGAGGAGGAGGAGGGCAATCACAAGGGCCAGAGGTCTCTTGGATGCCTCTCGAAGCCTCTTGGGGTATCTCTTGGGCGATTCTTGGTGGCCCCCCCCCGTCCAGGTCCACGGGGAGGGGGTAGGGGGAGGGGTAAACCCCTCCCCGAAGGGGAAGAGGGAGGGGTGGAAGAGGAAACGCCCCAAACCACCGACGCCCAGAGGGCTGATGGGATTTGCTGCATGCAGCTGGTTTTGGCCCCACCGCGGGGCCCATTCCTCGGTACATAGCCGCCTCCGGCGCCAGGAGGCTCTGGGAAAATCAGCTACGCGAGCTGATTCTCAACCCCCCCCTTTGCTATCCCCCCCTTTCGCCCGGCCCGAAATACTGGAGTGACCAATTCTAGGCCTCCCAGATGTGGTCGGAGTAGATGGGGTCGGAAGATCGCCACGCCTCGCCGATGCAATGCCGATGCGGCCCGATGTCGGGCCTGATTTGATTCACGTCGACGTCGCCGATGCATCGGCGATGTATCGGCGATGCGGCGCGCTCCTCCGACCCCATCTACTCGGACTCTATCTAGGAGGCCTAGATTAATGGCGAGCGATGGGCACGAAGAGACCCAAACTGGTATCCTGACGGGCGCCGAGCCCAGGGGCAGCCACCGTCGAGGTGGGCCGGTCCACTTCTGCCGGGCCCTTGGGGCACGCTGCCCCGCGCGCGCGCGGCACGTACTCAGCATCCGATCTATCGGGGATGGACAGACCCCCCTTTAGCAAAACGTGGTTTAGTGAAAACGACCTGAGGCCCAAACCTGCCGGTCGCAAGCCTGGAAAATAACGGCCGCGGCGCCCCCTCGAGAGCCGAAAACGGACAATTCACTAGTCGACGTGTCACTGTTGGGGGTTCTGTCCGCCCCCGAATCCAGACCAAGAAAATGTGTGCGCCCTCTTGCGGTGGCGCGGGGCCTGCAGGGAAAATCCAGGCGCGGCGCGGTGCACGGACGCCGCTCGCGCATGCAGAGGCGCAGCAGGGGCGCAGCTGGCGCCCTCCCGCCTTCCCGCCCCCCCCCCCGTCTTTCGCCGATTCCCCAGGTGCGCCCGCGCGCGCTGGGGAGGAGGAGGAGGAGGAGGAGGAGGAGGAGGAGGAGGAGGAGGAGGAGGAGGAGGAGGAGGAGGAGGAGGAGGAGGAGGAGGAGGAGGCCGACGAGCCAGCACGTTCTGGTCAGCCTGTCGCAGTGCGGCACGGTCTCGCCCCTGGCGCCCAGGCTGGCTGTGCCCCCGCGGGAGAAACAGAGAGAAGGACGGGAAGCGTTGGCCCCATCTCTCGGGCCGGGCGAAAGGGGGGGATTGGGAAAGGGGGGGGTCCGAAATTTGCGGCATGCAGCTGGCTTCGGCCTCACCGCGGGGCCCATTCCTCGATGCGTCGCCGCCTCCGGCGCCGGGAGGCGCCGGGGAGACCAGCTGCGTGAGCTGATTCTGAAGCCCCCCCTTTGCTATCCCCCCCCGTTCGCCCGGCCCCAAGCTCGCTCCTGCATCGCCACTCGGGGTCCGGGCCCCCCCCCCCGCCCCCCCCCAAAAAATGAAGACTCGGCGCAGGAGCGTGCGGTTTCGCGATCGGAGGCCTGCGGCAGGAATGATTCAGGAGGGGAAAAAACACACAGACACAATTGTTCGTCGACTCCCAGAACATGTGCGAAAATATGGGAAGTGGGGGGGGGAGACAGAAATCCAGAAAATATGTGAAAATATGGTGAATATTTTTATGTGTGTGTATTTATTTGTGTGGCCCAGGGCCCCTTCAAGGATGAGCGACGAGGAGGGTGAGTGAGGTGGGCGCGGCGCGGCAGGAGAAGGAGGAGAGAGGGGCCGAGAGAACGAGCGATTAGGATGAGCGAGGGGGATCAGGACAGAAGAGGAGGAGGGGAGAGGGGCCGAGAGAACGAGCGATGAGGATGAGCGAGGGGGATCAGGACAGAAAAGGAGCGAGGAGTGCGTGAGAGGGAGGAGGACTGCGGCCGAGGAGGAGAGAGGAGCGAAAAAGAAGGCACAGGCGGGCGGGTGTGAGGACGAGCCGGGAGGAGCAGGGAACAATCAGATGAGGCGGAGCAGGGCAGCGCGCAGCAGCAGGCAAAGGCGGGCAGGACCTGACCAGCAGCAAGCACGACACAGCAGCATCAGGCAGCCGCGAGCGACAGCAATCGGCAACGCCAGCAGCAGTCGGCAGGAGTTCGGCAGCGCCTCCCGCTGTGCCCAGAGCAGGTTCTGCTGGACCAGGGCTCCCCGAGCACCGATCGATCCGCAAAGGTCCTGGGGCCTGTGCCTTTCTGTCGTGCCGGTCCTGATCATTGCTCCTCATCTGCTATGTTCCTACCCAGAGATCCAAGGCTCCGAACCCATTGGAGCGACCAGTTTCGGGCTATTTTCGGTCTCAGGGGGGCCTCAACGGACTCCAGGACCGTCAAAAGGCGACGCCGGACAAGCAAGAAGGCTTGGCCCAGGGACGAGGTCCAGACCTTCCGGGAACGTGCGCATCGAAAAGTTGGAGCGCCAGATGTCTGGGTCATCTTCTTGTCCCGATTGGTGGGTGTTTCTCCTCTTCTCTGGCGGCGCGTAGCAAGTGGCCGCGGTAGGCGGGTAGGGACCAAGAATGAACAGGCCTTGCCAGCAGTGGGGCCCTGGACCACCAAGCGCCCCACAGCCCCCGGCTCTCCATCCCAAGATGGCCTACAAGACGGCCAAGATACCCCCCCGATATGGCCGCAAGATGGTTCCAGGATGGCCCACGATGCGCCCGCGACGGCGCAAGATGGCCCCAGGCGGCCACAGAGGTCCCCCCAAGATTCAGGAGGGAAAAACACACAGACACAATTCATCGACGATGCCCCAGAAGGTATGGGAAAAGGTGGGGAATCCTGCTGTCTGTGTCTATTCATTTGTGTGTCCCAGGGCCCCTTCACAGATGGCCTGGAGGCATCCACGATGGCCGCATGACGGCCCAACAGGCCCCCAGGACGGCCCCAGATGGCATCCAAGGCGGCCAGGGTGGCCCCGCAGGACGGCTTCCCAGGGCCCAGGGAGGGCCCCCGGGGGCCGAGGACGCCGAGGAGACTCGGACCCCGCTTTGACTCCCTCGGGGGCGGCAAAGAGGGGGGTGATGACTAGGGGGGGGGATATCATGGCGGGGGCCATGATGTTTCCCCAGATTTCATGGCGCCTCTTCTTGTTTCATTACGTGCCTGGCCCCCCCGCTGGGCCGCGCACATGCCGCCCGTCATGATTTGCACCCCCCCCCCTCTTGGACACCCCCCTCTTGGCCGCTCCCGACTCCCAGGAGCCGGTTTCCTCCAGCCCAGCTCGCAGCCCCCCCAAAGACATCCAGTGCTCCGTCGGGCATGTCCCCCTACAGGAGGAGTAGCCAAAAATAGTAAAAACTAATTAGCCTGGGGACGATGTTACTATTATGTTTCGCTATTTCTGAATATTTTTGATTTTTTGATAGGCTTGCATGCTTTCAGGCATGTCGGACTATTTGCAGCTTTTTCTTCCAACATGCGCCTGTGGGAGGACGTGCCTGGCCTCAGCCCAGTGCTCCGATGTTTTTCATGCGTGGGCCCTTCGACCACTTCCCCTAGGGCTCGGGGGGGGGGAAGTGGTCGGCTCTCCTTGCTCCTGGCGCCCCTCGCGGCGGCGCGTCGCAGCTCGCGGCGCCCCACGGGCAGCGCGCACTCGCGGACGGTGACGAACACGGCGCGCGCCCGCTCGACGGCGCAGATGCGGCACCGGGCGGAGCGCGGAGCGCGGAGCGCACCAGGGGCGGCGCCAGCGGCGCCGCCAGGGGTGTCCAGCGCCGATGCAAGAAATCTCCTCCTCCTCCTCCTCCTCCTCCTCCTCCTCATCCTCATCCTCATCCTCATCCTCTCCTCCTCCTCCCCTCCTCCTCCCCCTCATCCTCCTCCTCTCCTCCTCCTCCTCCGCCGATGCAAGAACTCTGCGCGGACCTCCGGGTCATTCTGTTGATGCCATCTTTCGGTGCTCTGTCCCCCAGGGTCGGCTTCCGCTCCAGGGTCGCGTTGTCGGGTGTCGCTCGAAGTGCCTTTGGCCCACGGTGCCCCCCCCCCCGGATCAGCAAGCAGGCCCCCCACGGCTTCCGGAGCACCCCTCTCGAGGCCCAGAGGGCCCCGGGGGCTCCGAAACGGAGCGACAGGCCGGGGGGCCCTGGGCCAGGGGCACCTAGCTGGCAGCCCCCCCGAGGTTCTGGCGGCCCCGAGGCCCGCAGCTGGCCTCCACGCACCAAGGCTGGGGGCAGCAAGGTCCGCCGCCCCGATTCTGTTGTTGTTCCGAGGCGCGGGCCGCCCGCGGGCCCGGCGCCCGCCCTACACCGGGGAGGGGAACGCCAGGGGGCACCGCGTCGGGGGGGGGGGAAGCCTCGCCGATGAACGAGCGGCCCCGGGCCCAGACCAGAGCAATTCCTGCAGAAGCCTCCCTCCTCGCCCTCCTCCCCCTCCTCGCCCTCCTCGTCCCCGTCCTCGCCCTCCTCCTCCTCCTCTTTCCTCCTGCTCTTCCTCCTCCTCGTCCCCTCCTCCTCCTCCTCCTCCTCCCTCCTCCTCCTCCTCCTCCTCCTGCTCTCCTCCTCCTCCTGCTCTTCTCCTCCTCCTCATCTTCCCTCCTCCTCCTCCTCCTCCTCCGCCTCCTCCTCCTCCTCCTCCTCCTCCTCCTCTCCTCTCCTCCTCCTCCTCCTCCTCCTCCGCTCCTCCTCCTCCTCCTCCTCCTCCTCCTCCTCCTCCTCCTCCTCCTCCTCCTCCTCAGCCTCCTCCTCCTCCTGCTTTTCCTCCAACTGCTCCTCCTCCTCCTCCTCGCCCTCCTCACCCTCCTCCTCCTCCTTCTCCCCCTCCTCCTCCTTCTCTTCCTCCTCCTCCCGCTGGGGGTGAGCGTTACGGGGTCACGCTCAGGGGGGCGGGGACATCGAGCATGAGTATTTGTTTGAGTCGGCGGTACATCGCCGATGGATCGGCGATAGGTATCCGACTGCGAATTCACACGCGTTTTTGCAGGATGTGCTCTCGGGTTTCTATCGACGATGGACGGGCGACCAGGGGGCGATGCGTCCCCTTCTGAGCCGATCTCCCTCTACAGCGCCAGTTTTAATACATGCTTCGCGTGCGGATCATATATTAAGAAATAAAGGTATTTAGTAGCAAAAGCAATGATGAATTTATGCATTGATTTATTTGTAAACTAATCCAATGTATTAAACATCCCATGTATTGAAAATCCTATGCCTTAAAGCCTGCCCTGTGACCTTGCCCCCTGGCGTTCGGGTCATGACTCGGCCCTCCGGCGGCCGTCGGGGACGGTCGAGGGCACCCCCCTGGAGTGCCCCCGGCGAGGCGAGGCGAGCCGCTGTCGGGCATCCCGAGGCTGGAAGATTGGCCGAGAACCGAGAACGCCCGGAAACCTCGATCATTGGATCCTTTCGTCCCCCTTGCGCCTCATACTCCCCCCCCGACGTTCCCCTGCCCCGCAGTGCGCGTTCATCTACCTGCTGCTGGCCGTGTGGCTGAGCATGCACGCCTCCATCGCCTCGCACAGCTTCGGCGTGAGGCCGTTTCCGTCCCGGACAGGGGCTGGTCCGCCGCGCCCGTGGGGGGAACAGGGATGAGGAGGGAGAGTTTGGGAGGGGGCGGGGGAGGGGGAGGAAGGCCAGAGGACGAGGGGGGACGAGGGAGAGCAAGAATGAGGGAGGGGTCAAGGAGGAGGAGAAGGAGGAGGAGGAGGAGAAGAAGGAGGAGGAGGAGCAAGAGAAGGAGGAGGATGGAGGAGGAGGAGAAGGAGAAGGAGGAGGAAGAGGGGAAGGAGGAGGAGGAGGAGTAGGAGGAGGGAGCAGGAGCAGAGACGGAGCAGGCGGCAGGAGCAGGAGCAGGAGCAGGAGCAGGAGCGAGCAGGAGCAGGAGAAGCAGGAGGAGGAGGAGGAGGAGGGAGGAAGGAGAGGGGAGAGGGGGAGGCGAGGGGAGGGAGAGGGGGAGAGGGAGGGGGAGGCGGAGGGGAGGGGGAGATGTGCCAGGAGGAGCAGGAGGAGCAGGAGGAGGAAGAAGCAGGAGGAGGAGGACTAGGAGGATGAGAATGGCGAGGAGGGGAGGGGGGAGGGGTAGGATGGGGGGATGAGGAGGGAGGACGAGGGAGGAGTAGGACGAGGAGGCGGAGGAAGAGAAGGAGGAGGAGGAGCAGGAGCAGGAGAAGGAGGAGGAGGAGGAGGAGAAGGAAGAGGAGGAGGAGGAGAAGGAGGGGGAGGAGGAGAAAGAGGAAGGATGCAGGAGGGAGGAGGAGAGGAGAGGAGGAGGAGGAGGAGGAGGGGAGGAGGAGGAGGAGGAGGAGGGAGGAGGAGGAGGAGGCGGAGGAGGAGGAGGAGGAGAAGGAGGAGAGGAGGAGGAGGGAGAAGAGGATGGACGAGGAGGACGAGGAGGACGAGGAGGAGGAGGAGGAGGAGGAGGAGGAGGAGGAGGAGGAGGAGGAGGAGGAGGAGGGCCCCGAGGGGGCCCCTCCCGTAGGGGAGGGGTCGGGACCCCAGGGTCCTCCTGGCGCAGGCGGGGAGCGCCGGGCCCGAGGGGCGAAACGCCCCCGCTCCCCTGGGACGGCCCCCCAAAGCGGGGTCCCCTTCCCAGGGGGGCTGCCAGGTCCCGGGGCCTCCCTCAGGGCGGCGCAGGGTCCCCCCCCTGCGTTCGCCGCCTTGGGGCGGGACTGGCGGTCCGTCCTCCTCATCCTCCTCCTCTCCCCCCGCCTCCAAGGTTCCGTGAGCGGCCCGCGTGGGCGCGGGCCGCGGGGCGATGCTTGGTTCCGCCCCCTGGTGGGCTGAGGTGTGTCACCGACCTCCTCCGCCGTGGGAAATACAAATAGAGGAGGGGGAGGAGGGGGAGGAGGGGGAGGAGGGGGAGGAGGGGGAGGGGGAGGAGGAGGAGGAGGAGGAGGAGGAGGAGGAGGAGGAAGAGGAGCATAAGGAGGATAACCAGTGTAAACGCAAGATGGATCAACGATGTTAGAATAAACCCGTCCTCCAAGCTTCTTTCGATAGGACCCTACAGCGATTCAGGTCCTTTGAAGGAACTAATTGCCTCGTTTTCATGGAACTGCTGGACGACCCTGAAGCATGCTAACACATTGTTCTCGGGATTCCACCGCCACTGATCAACTTGATTGTTTCGTCTTGAAGATCTTGAGTCGCGCCAGAACGCCATTCCTGGGATTTCAACACCGCGAATCAACGTAACTGCTATTCCCTCATAATCCAGGATGCTTCCAAAGCGTCATGTATGGTGCGATCATCATGGGCAGTACGTGAAACTTCTGCAAAGGTCAAAAAAGAACGTGCGCGTCGCTAAGGCGAAAACCACATTTTGAAAACGGCCCGCCCTCAATCCGTGAAGCGTTCGCATGTGTCCTTATTTCTTATATTTTGGCTTAATAAAGAAAACGCATAACGAATGTGCGCGACGCTAGGCGAGAGCCACATTTTGAAAACAACCCGCCCTCAGTCCGTGAAGCTCATGCAATCTTTAAACACGAGTGTGCGCGGCGCTAAGGCGAGAGCCACATGTTGAAAACGGCCCGCCCTCCATTTGTGAAATTGTTACCCCTTGTTTAAACTTCTGGGTCATACATAGTAAGGACGTCTCAGGCGAAACGCCTGGCCCGCCCTTACAGGTTGCCTCGAGGTGCGACAGGGATAAGTTTTTCCAAGGAAAAGGAATGAAGGAGGAGGAGGAGGAGGAGCAGGAGGAGGAAAAGCAGGAGGAGGAGCAGGAGGTGAGGGAGGAAGAGGAGGAGGAGGAGGAGGGGGCGAGACGAGGAGGAGTAGGAGGAGGTGAAGGAGGGGGAGGAGGAGGAGGAGGAGGGGGGGGAGGAGGGCGGGGAGGGGAGGGGAGGAGGAGGGGGAGGAGGAGGAGGAGGAGGAGGAGGAGGAGGAGCAGGGGGAGGTGGAGGGTGAGGGGGAGGAGGATGAGGGAGAGGGGGAGGAGGGCAAGCTAGGTATGATCGCGCCATCTCAGACGTCCTACCCTTTTCCTCCCATCTCTTACCATGGCGTAGATGCTCCCTCTCTCTTTCTCTCGTTCTCTCTCTCTCTCTCTCTCTCTAGTTTTCTCTCTCTCTCTCTCTCTCTTGCTCTTCGCGCAATCGGATGTCGAGCACGGCAATGATCCCGAGAGGGTGCGCGATGCATGGTCGATCACAGCATAGCAGGGCGTAGAAGAGCACGGCATTGCGTAGTGTGTCGTAGCATGGCTTGGCGCCGCGTGGTGAACAGTTGCATCACAAAGTGTTGCAACGCAAATAATGGCATCGCACAGCGGCACAGATCAGAGCATGGCGTAGCATTCCGTTGAAGGTCAAAGCGTAGCATGGCACAGCATGCGTGGCTCGGCATTGCGTAGTCAAGTACTGCAGATCATAGCATTTCAGCTGAAGGCATGACATCGCGTAGTGGAACACCACATAG